GCAGGAGATTGAGTCGAAGCCACGACTGTTCATGGGTTTATAAAATGACGAAGCACTTTGTGAGAAGAAAACGTTGGTGTCCTATTCCAGTGAATATGTCTGTGCGCCGTGTTTGCAGGATGTAAATACTGCACTGTCATAGACATCGACCATTGTTTCATACAAAATTAACTGCAATAACACTTAGTAGGGCATTTAAATGTTTGTTCTCTCTCTCATTACCGCCCTACATATTTTATTCGTGAAGTAATTACTCTCAATACATTTAGGATAAATATGATTAAATTGTATGTCGACGTATATACAAATACTACTATTCATTTTCAGTTTTTACTTAGAAGATAAACACCGACCGACATCAAAATGTCACCTGTAAAACTTGCATTTATTTTAGCATTAAAATGTAAAACATGTTAAATATGATAAACATTTGATACAATGCACACAAGTACTCTACCATAAGTACATCAGAGTACAGTAGTGGCATAATATTTTAAAGATTATGGGTAGGGAGTGATCTCACCATGAAGATGTTTCTTTAATCGTTTTATTTTCGTCTCCGGCAGTTTCGAGAGCCGATCATTAGACCTTTTAATTCCATCTTGGCGAGGTATTTCTTTACCCACATTTGTCTAAATGTTAAGTCTAAATTCCAACCACCATAATGAATGTTTTTTTGTAATGACATGCCCTTTTTGGAAATGTCAAAGCAGTGACTAATTCCAGGTTTTGCCCAAACTACAAACAAGAAAGGTAGGAAATATACTTGCACAGAGGACATTTTAAATACTGGACTATGCAAACAACAACCCACTCTCGTTGATGTGAAAAAGAGCTTCATAGCACATCGGATTCCTCCAGTCTAAATATTACCGGGGTGATATTTACCGATAGGCCGCCAATGTTGCAGTGCTGTAGCCTATAGGTATCCAGTGGCAGAGTGCCTGGTGACAGCTGCTTTTCTGTGTTTAACCTGTCACGTTTATGAGTCACAATATTCAAAACACGTCTTTATGCACAGTATATGAGTCAAGTGGTTGGTCGAAAGTAATGCTGTTGGCTAAAGTAGGGCATACAATGTTAGAAACAAACGTTGAAAAAGCTTCGATTGACACAGGATTTACTGGGGGGGGGGTTTCACGTGACCATGCATTTTGTTTTATACACAGCGCCTTTCATTTAAAAATCACAAAGTGCTGTACTTGTGAACATGTCAACACTCCGTGATTTTTCAACCCCCCCTCTATCAAATGTTATACAGGGTGCTTCAAAAAAATGTTAACACTTCGGAGAATTTGCAACAACACCGCAAGAAATGTGTTGCCACCGGGCTCTGGAGACCAGCTGGAGAAGATTCCAGGCCACGTGTTGACAACGATGGCGACCAAGTGGAGGCTCTTTCACGTTTTAAAGCGATTTGTTGTCATGTTACAATGTATTATCCGTTCTTTTCCCATTAAAAACGATAGTCCCGTATAAGTGTTAACAATTCTTAAAGCACCCTGTATGAGACAATAACAATTGGGTATACAGGATGGCGTGGATGCACAACCCTCCTGATCGATAAGCCCAAACTGAGGTCACGCTGCGAAACTCCTTTTCTGTTGCTTGCGGTGAGAACGGTCCGTGTTATCGCGAGAGTTTGCTGGATTGTTCAACTTGCGTCATTACTGAAATCCGCTTTGGATAGGACTTAATGTGCTGGATTGGATGGACTTGCGTTTTCTTTTCTTACCGCGGGTTCGCAGCGTTCCACGTGGATTATAGGCAGAAGAGAAATCACGATTGCCTCTTTATCTTGAAATAATGTTGGAGGCAATTTGAACTGTTAAGGGAGAGTGTGCTTGGGCAGGGCATGGGACACCGTGTGAAAAAGCTGTGCATGGATTTAATCAGGATTAGTATTCATAATAGAGGGGTTTTTTTGGGGTCGCGTAAATATATTAATGTGTCGTTAAAAGCCGCCACCACCCGACACAGCCAACTAGTAAGGGTTGTCACGTAAACAGAAAATGCCAATTCGTCACTAGTACAGCACTAGTGTGTAGTGTATAGTGTAGTGTATAGTGTATTGTGCAGTGTGTAGTGTATAGTGTAGTATACTAGTACAGCACACGGGTGTGTTGGAGAGTCAAGCCACAACATTTACAATCTGAGTACGACGTTCCCCCAGTAATTACAACTAGCTGCAAATGAACGGTTACAATGATGCACAAAGCAACAGGGTATTTAATGCCAAAACCAAACCAAATAACACGAGCATTGAAACTGCCCAAGTAATTAAAACGATCAAAATACCAACAACAAAAAACCTCTATTATGGATATTGGTCGCGAAAGCCTATGTGTTAAACAGGATTAGTATTTATAACAGTAACGTTGTGCTTTTATTTCCGTATATACGCAGCCGTTTACTGCTAGCAACAGTAACTCATTAAATTTTTATTTAAAGCTTTCGTGACTGCAGTGATTCATATTCTTGGTTCTTTCGGTAAAGTCAC